CCGTTGTTGCGCCGCAAGTTTAGGACGAACCTCTGAAAACTGTGAAGCTTTTCATCGTACTCCTCCGGAAACTTTTCGCATATGCCCGCTCGCCTTCGGAGGGAAAAGCCTTTCCTCTTCATAAAGTTACTTAGCCAGCACCTGCTCGCTTTAAACTGGCTCCGCATTAGAACTTTTTCTAAGACTAACTGCATAGCCTGCACTTGGAGCAGTTCTGTCGTCACAGGCGGCTGTGCCACTCACTGCTCAATCATATACTCGCCGAGCAGCTCTTTAATTTGCGGAAACCGACCCTGCTGTGGTCCATTGAAGACTTTGCGTGAGTCTTTGCTGTCGACAATCTTCTGCTTTTGTTTCCGCCAGTCCCGCGCACACGTTTTGGGAACTCTGAACGACCGCGATGCGGCCCGATTTCCGTTCGATTCGGCACACGCGATGACTTTTCTTTTAAAAGCGGCACCGTGGTGCACTCGTCGAGTTTTTGGAGTCGGCCCTTCCATGCTGTCGATGCTAATGCACTACAAGATGATGAACTCCTCAGCACAAGTACGAAGTGCCACACATGGGAAACACATAGCAGAAATGGCCGACACGTCATGCCGACGCACGTAGGGGGCGGCCATTTTAGAAATGTCGATGGCAATAGAATGACCATATTCATTTTTTTTTTTCGTACTCAATTCTAACGCGCATGCGATTTATAAACTCACTTAACCGGAAAAAAGGTGCATGTTAGATTCGAGTAAATACGGTAAGCAGTAATCCGTTTGTCACCTCACTTGCATCACCGTATGCAACGAAAAACTATATGTGATGACGCCATTGTAATATTACCAAAAGTGCATGGCCTTTTTTATGTTTGCCATTGCATGGAAAAACACTTCAGCCTATTCACATTACCATATTCACTATCATGCAATCATTTTGCAACTATAAAGAAGGTATATATGCTGACGTAGCGGCACATCTGACAGACGATTCGTCAGGCTTTGACATGTGCGCGTAAGTTTTAACGGTGATCCACTGGCGAAAACTGGTGTGGCTATACATGAAACACGTTACCATCGCATGTCAAACTGAGTGCGCCCCTAGCTAATTGCATGCAGTGCATCGCATACTAAGCTCACTTCATCAGCTCCACGCCCTGTAACGTATACACGTGCATTTGCCCTTGGGTAGAGATTTTTTGCACTCCTGCTCGCTCAGCACGGGACCAAGCAAAGGTGTGAAGACAATTTCGTCAAGCGAATGCTGCGGCGTTGAGTTGCCTTCGTTTCCACGAGCGATGTGCACTTGCGGTCCCGCGCACAAGGGCGCGGCAGTGCACGGTGTGGTCAGTACGCTTATGGGAACCGTAACAGCGCTAAACCGCTAAGCCACACGTACTGCCGCACAGGCAGTACATGATTTAGATTGATTGAGGTATTTATCATTGGCAGGTTTGTCGCGACGGTTTGCCGCTGCATTCGTTGATAGGCGTGATCACGCTCGCATGAATTTCCACGCAAGCATTATCACCGCACTTGCGCCGAAGTCATAGTTATGACTGCATGATCTACTGGGGCTGTTATCGCAAATGCGGAAAATCGTAAGTTCTTCACAGTGGCATATGCGAACCAATAGGCCTGTGCGAATAGTGAATTTCAGGTTTGAAGCGAATAGTGATTTTGGTCAAATAATTTCGCATCGAAATTGAATAGTACATGTGACATATAAATAAAAATGGGCATATTTATCATGACCTTACTAACCTGCACAATATTTTTTTTAAAATGAAATAGAGCCTCCGTGCTAATTCCCTTTTTTTTTGTTCCAAAAAAGTCAAAAGAACTTTAAGTAGTAACAGGATTTTACTTTCAGCAGGATGCGAGTCATAACCCTTAAAATACATAAAATTTTAAGATTTATTATACTTTGAGCATATAAGCCGCTATAACTAGCTTTTAAGCTTAATAAAATGAATTGATTTGAGAATAATATTTTCACTAAAAGGGGCCGTGTGACATTGTTTCAAATAGTCATGGAATGCATTCAATGAAAACTCGAGCTTATTTATTGCCTCATGAATTCACCCCCGCAAATATTTTCCCTATCTGTCCAGTACGCGCGGAGTTGCAAAGATTTCTCGCACGGTGCAAGTGCATTCTCTCTTCTCATCCTGACGAAAGCACTGGAAGCTAAGCAGGAAAGAATGGCACGGGAAAAGAAAATACGTAACACATGCTTTCTGAGCTTGTGGAGTCATTTGCTGAAAGAAGAGAGCAATTTTTAGCCAACTTTAAGAATTTGTTGTGAATCGCACGCCGAGTGGTGCGCTATAATATTTGACTTGCGTGTCCCCGGTAGCCTCGACTGCCGATCGGCAGCGATTTCTGACAATGCTAAAAAAAAATTGCAGGGCCCCTTTAAATTTGAAGGGGGCTTTGCGGCAAAGCAGATATCTTTTGAACAGGTGCTTTCACGGTTCAACATCTCTACACTCCAGTGAAACCACCTTTAGAGGTAATACATTCGGATTATTATGCATTTATTCCTTCTTTACGAATACTTTGAAATTTTCAATAATTTGAGTTCAAATAGCTGGTTGTCGATTCAAATACAAATAGTATAAATGCAATATTCACCGAATGGTCGAAACTTTGGAATATTCGCACAACCCTAGTAATCTGCAGTTAATCACTTTTTGCATTGCTATAGAGCTGTATCAAAGTCAATGATTTTATTTTCACTGTAATATTGACTGAATATTTTCTTTTAATATCTTCTTGTAACCTCAGTTCATTGCCTTCTCAAATTTATTACCATAAGTGCAATCGAGTGATTTTCTACAGTCATACTTAATCATACCTAACTTTGCCAAAGCTAACGATGTGTGATATATTACAGTGATACCTAACCATGCTTAACATTGTTAATCATAACTCACAGCAGGCATTCTGGAATATTGTAGGGTTTTTTACTTCACTGTGTCTTTCGTGCGAGTATTTTGGGATGGAATCAGCATTCGGGGTGTTGCCACAATTTGATTGTTAAACACAGATTCGTGGTGAAACCCATTAATTTCGGCTACTCGTGATTCTAACATACCTGCATTTAAGCGCACTGGGTGAGAAAAAAATCAATTGTTAGACTGCTGCTTTTTGGCTGTAACAAGTTTTCTACCTTCACATATTTGCTACTGGGCCAATGTGATTGCTAAGCTAGACTGGTAATTTTCGTCGCACTGATAGAAGTCTGCTCAAAGAGAGCAGTTTGTCCCTTTTGTATGTGTGCAGGTTCCAGGATCAAGTATCTGACCAGCAAGTCAATTACTTTGTATAATCATAGTTACAATAAAGCGCGCACGTTTTGGGACAAAGTGTGTAGTCACTGTTATGTATAATAAAGGTTACAAGTATGCATAAATAATTGTTGACTATCTATTTTGGACATTTACGAAAAGTTTTTTAGTTTTTCTTGTGTTTCATAGGTGGGTGTTGAGGAAGTGCTTAAACTTTCGCTAGGTGGCTGAATCGTTTTGGATGACAGACAGACAGACAAAAATTTCTGCGTTCAAGTATCCCAAGGCAGACTATCACTTAAAAAAAAAACAACAAGCGATCCAATAAAACCTCACCTACCTCATAATTTGCTGGGAATGTTCTGATATTTAGTTCTGAAATTTCAATATTCTGGAATGAATTTTCGTTTTTTTGATCTTATAAGGAAATAGGTGGCATGCTGGCTCAATTCTTGGTGGAACTGATGGCATGCTGATAAAACTTTTGCATTCTTTTTAACATACCTAGTTTACTTAAGTATCAGAGGACTTAACGTGTTACAACAGCATGGAATATGCAAGCTATAAATTGATCACTTAAGATAAGATGAAAGGGCAGAAATACAATAAATGAGGCACTGTTTTCATTCTTAGGCATATTTTCTTGTGCTGACACAAGGGCCCCATGGAAACACTTAAGCAGTGATTACCATAGAGTTTCTTAAAATTAACCAGAAGGAACCCTGGCACTGCGATCCTTCAGTAGCCATGGGAATGATAGGCAGTACACGGATTTGCCTAGTCTTCGTACTAGTGGGTGACTTGTGGCGCTGTTTATTGCTATGTTTTGGTTTTGTTTCGAAAGAAGAAACTAACCTTTTTGAGCTTCGTGACCCAATTTGAAAACGTAAACTTAAAAGAATATGGTGGTGAAGTGCAATTTCTGAACATTTACTGGTTTTTGTTTCGTGAGAAAACAGCTCCAAGCCATACGAACACACACGGAGCCAGAAGTATGAAGATTAGACAAATCCGTGTACTACCCATCTTTCTCATGCTTGCTGAAGCGCCGTTCGTTGCAGCTTCCATAGACACTGGCACCAGAGTTCCCTCTAGTGTATAATTAAGAAATATTACTAGGTCACTCAAATGTGCCCTTTTAGACTATGGCTGCACCATACTCTGTTTCACCACTTTAGTTCCGCACTACCAAAGCTAGGTAGTGCAAGAAAGCCACAAGCTTGCGCAGCGAAACATAATTCCACATACAAGTGCCTGAAAATTCACAGGGTTGGCTAGAATTGGCTTTTTTTTTTGTTTTGCGCCACGTCGATACAATAATATGTTTATTCTTCTTCAGATATATTTCTTAAGCATTTAATTATTTGTGTCCGGTACCGCCAATAACTGTGTTTACAGGTCGACAAGGCAGCACCCATCCAGAAGAGACCGCCCGCTTCAATACGGACTCGCTCTTGCTACACGCCCGCTGCGCTGACAGCAGTAAACACATGGTGAAACCAGCCATTGATTTGTTTCATTTCACTCAGTAGTGCATCCTATGGCTGCAGCTCGCTGTTATAATTTACTGGCGTGCTAACCAGGAAGTCGAGCTGACAGACGCGAAGATTGCTTCAGTGGCAGAAAATCAATGCAATAAAATTACACACTTCGTATGGATGAACTCGGTCTACCATTGATGCCATTGCTCTAGCAATGCACATGATTCCTCTGCACGTACCTGCCATGCCCGATCCCAGGTAGGGCACTTCATCCTTATTCTCCATGACACCTGCAATGTCGAGGTGTGCCCATTGTGGGCACTTGACAAACTCCTGCGATGACAGACAGTGGACACTGATGTTAGAAACATTGGTAGACATTAAGGAAAACAAAGAGTATACAAGAAGTTTGGCACCGGATTCCATTGAACGACCACAAAACTAAATTCAGAAACTTGAGTTTCTTGAGTTGTTTATTTGTCCTGCAAGCAGGGCACTTCTCACTAAGTGATGAGTGTTGCCCACAGATTATTTGAATTTTGTTTTAAATAGGTGCTCATATGGATCATCAGCACCAATCGACATCTTCTCTGGTTTGACGTAGACAGAGGCCCCTCATGACGTTCCACGAGTAAGGCGAGTATTATTGATGGCAGAGAACACTTGCGGGGCGCGCACAATATCCGGACTGGCACCTGGCAAGGAGTACTGTGCACCACTCTTCTCGCTCTGTTGTTGGGCTGCTCTCAAAGTGGTGTTGACTACTTAACTCAGGCATGTCTTTCTTGTTTGTTTTTTTCTGACAGAGACAAGCTCAAAGCACCCACATTATTTCCTTCTTCCCCGTTCTTAGGTCCCCAATTTTGCAAATGGAGCATTAAGGGTCACTGAAGCTTGAGCTCAGGCATTTACGAGCGCTCTGAAAAGTGGCTGCGCGTTCGGTCAGTAGAATTCGAGCGCGTGAACTAGGTTCTTTCAGAGCATCGGCCTTCGACTCTGAGCGCTCCCGACCACTCTGGCTTCGAAACGAGAGCGTGGCATGATCTGACTGACCGGCAGAACAGCTCACGTGATGCAAGCCGGGAAATCTTGAGGCTGATAGTAGGTGCACCAGGCAAACAACGCCAACAGCGCGAGCCACATATAGGAAGGAGGCATTGCCTGGCGTATCATATGTTGTTAGAGGGGTTTTTAAGCCTGTGTGGCGAGTTCACATCTATGAAGTTATAAATGCACCATGTCAAAATAGAGGCGGCTAGTGATGGCGGAGGAAACGTTGAAGCTGTCGGTACAGCAGCTCGTACATAGTCACGTGATTTGCCCTGAAGATGGCAGCTCGGACGACGACAATCGCCAGATTTATGTGCTGAGCTCAGAAAGATGTCACTGCATCCAGACAAGTCGAAGATGTCCACTGTAAGGTCCCTAGATGAAACAAGTTTTCAAGGCAGCGACACCTTTCTCTTTCCTCCTCGATGAATGGATGGATGAATATGGCTGTACCCTTTAGATCGGGTGGTGGCTAGTGCCACCAAGCCGTAATACTTAATGAACTAAAAATTAGATTTAGTTTTTCCCTCAAATAGTGAGGTTGAGGATTCGTACTTTGCAGTGAAGGGTTTAATTTTCTCTCGTGCCTTGACTTTAGCCACCAATCAGATAACCTCCTTCAAGTTAATTCTACCCGCTTAAAGTCTATTTTGCCCTCACTGTCCCTAAACCCCAGTGCTTTGAAAAACTCTGCGCCATCATCCTGAACTATATGGTGAAGCCCTTTACAGAACATTATCAAGTGTTCGGCAGTTTCTTCTTCCTCTCCACATGCACTGCATACCGTGTCTATCCCTTCGTATTTGGCCCGATATGTCTTGGTTTGCAATACTCCCGTCCTGGCCTCAAAGAGTAGAGAACTATGCCGAGTATTATCATAGATCCTTTACTTGGCAATTTCCTGCTTAAAAGTTCGATAGATCTCTAGTGTGGACTTCTTAATCATGCCAGTTCTCCACATATCAGTCTCAGCTTCCTTCACCTTCTTCTTAACCACTAATCCTTTTTGGTATGGACCCCTGCTGTTTTCCAAGTATTTACCAGTCAATTTTCTGGTTCGCTTCCACCATTTTGTATCGACATTCTTCATGTACAAGTAGCTGAATACCTTCCTAGCCCAACGCTCCTCCCCCATTTCTCTCAATCGCTTTTAAAATTTTATCTTGCTGCTAGCTTTCCTGCCCTCAAATGATGCCCATCCCATATCACCTTGTACTCCCTGATTTGGTGTATTTCCGTGAGCTCCTAAGGCAACCCTACCTATACCACGTTGCTTCATTTCTAATATTGCTTGAACTTCTGATCTCATGCACAAGACCGCATTGCCGAACGTTAGACCAGGAACTAGACCTCTTTCCATATTCCTCTCACATCATATGTAATTAATTCCACAGTGCCCTGTTTTTCATCACCGCTGCATTCCTGTTACCTTTAGTCGACATGTATATTTCGTGTTACCTTAGGTACTTGGCCCCATTGCTTATCCATACGCCCAGATATTTGTATTTATCTGTTATCTCTAGCGTGACCTCCTGTATTCTAAGCTCACTACCTTCACTGTCATTAAAAATCATGACTGCTGATATTTCCTTACTGAATCTGAAATCTAACCTATCTCCCTCATTACCACAGATGTCCACCAATCTCTGCAAATCTTCCTTGTTGTCTACCATTAGCACTATATCATCTGCGTACATCAATGCTAGCAGTGTCTGTTTAATGAGTTTTCCTTGTTTGACGAAAGAGAGGTCATGGTGTTTCCTTGCCTAAGTTCCTTGAGTGCCCACTGGAAGGTTCAAAACTTTCAAGAAAAAGCAAATGTTTGGGTTCAGTTGCAAAGGTGAATAGATGTAAATGAAACAAAACTGAACGAAATGAGTCGCAGAATAAACGGTTGCCTTTATAAACATAAATGATACGACACAAGAGCAAGCGGAATGTGCGTTACTCAACTGGCAACGTTGTGCAGTTCTATATTTTGCACCACTAGCCATGGTGTTTCACGTCACACATCATAGTTCGTCCAGTTATAACTAGTCCAGTTCTCCGAATGTGTTTTGTTGATGCTGTGAGACAGTGATTGGGCTTCTTGCTGGATCCTGCCAGTGATCACAGGGCGTGACGTGACAAGTGATTACAGCCAGCTTGCACACATGCAAGGAAAAACCATGACCAGAGTGGCACGAACGCTTGACTAGCAGCACTGCGATGACGGTTTTTTTAATGTGCCCATTTTGACAATCGTGCTGTCAGGTGATTCTGGTGCGGTACGCGGATCTTCCAGAAAAGTGAGAGTTCTACTGGTGAAGTGTTCGAAGCTGCACATTTTGGCTCCTTTATGCCGCGTTTTGGTCAACTGGTCAAGCGTGAATTGTTCCTAAGGTGCGTTAATTACACACTCCAGCTGCTCCCTATATGTGCATAGGCACAAGCATTTGCAACAACTGACACGCACTAGACACAAATTAGACGCGCTCCTGGCGTTTCAATAAAAACCGACAAATAAACTCTCTTCGCAGATCCACGTTAACGTACGTCGACGGAGTTGTACGAAAGCGTTCGCGTGCAATGCTTCATAGCTACACTTCACAGCGTGCTTCATTTCGGATAGCACGAGGTAAGTTGACAGATTTTCTGTTGTTTTACGGACACCAAGCATTCTTAAAAAACTCGTATATTGCATTGAACGAGCACCGCAAAACAATCTTGGCCGACTTGGCGCCAACTGAAGTGCTCCTCCTTTGAAGTTTATGTCCTGGCTAGGATTTCGTCTTTCGTCCCGACGAGAATCCAGCTACAGCCATATGAGCATGCGCGCTTGTTTTGAACCCTTTGCATATTATTAAATAACACCACCAGCCACTTCCAATATCACATGCAAGGAGCGCACTATTTACAGACGCAGATTTCAGAGAAACAGAGGCGTAAACGAGAGAGTGAGGAGGACAGCACGAGAACAATGAAACACTCTACCTTGGAAACTTGTTTCATCTAGGAACCTTAGCCCACTGAACTGATCAGCGCCATCTATCGATGTGGTGCAGGCATGTCCTGGTAGCTTACCTCAAGCTGGCTGTTCGGTGGCGCCACAGGCGTGCTTTTCTGAGATCGCTGATGTATTTGGTTGGTACACTGCCTTTCGCACTCTGATTGCGAACTGCCTCGACATCTGGCGACACCGGGCCAGAGAACTGGAGACACCAACCGAATACCGCAGTAGTCTCAGGTGCTTTCTTGCTGTGGGGTGCTAGTTTCCTATGGTATTCAGGTGGGCATTTCAAACTGATGCAAAATCTTTCAGGATTGACAATGATTGCATTAGCCATACGATGTGTTAAGAGTAGTCATGATTCACTTTTGAGATCAGTAGACACAAAGCGACAAATTACTGTAAAAAAAGTAGCAAACAAAATGTTTGCTGTCAGGGGTTCTTTAAGGAATCTCACATTATGCAGTAACCCGTAGTCGATTATAATCTAAAAATTAGTATAAGCTACATCCACAGGAACCCCAGAACACGTCATTCACAAGTGTAAGACGAGTTACTTTTAAATGCGAATGCACTTCTTAATCGGGCTATGTCAAGCATTCATCGGGATCCGTCCACGGCCCTCTCCCATAGCAACAGCTGCACGCGCGCATGTCCCTAGCAACCGGAGCCTCCACCATGTCACACTTCGGCGTCGGCAGCTGTCAGCTGTCAGCAACCGATGCAGGTGCGTGTACTTATCCTCGCGCCTGGCAACCAGAGTCCTCACCTCTTGGACTTGAACGTGATTTGCCATTGCTTCAATGCAGTGCGTTTGAAGCACGTTTGTAGCATTTGTGCTGTCAGCATTTGTGTAGCATTTGCGTAGCATTTGTGTTGATAAGACGCTGACAATATGGCCATCAGGTACAAAGACAGGTGCAGTGTTTCGCTGCTCCTTTCCTCGCCGTTCGCTCTCTCTCCTCCCTGGGCGCCAATCTCCTGTCCGCTCGCTGGTAGGCATATATGAACAGAGTGAAGCACACGCCTTACTGTCGACCGTTCACTGGCTGATGAATGTGTAAATAATTAGATACAGTACAAATTTTCGTCCCGTCATTATTTGCACCATTAAAATTACTACGTTGTGTACTCTCAGCGCAAGAAATGCATTCACATTTTCTGACGATTTCCTTCGGGGACGTGGGGAGACTTTTTTTATTGTTTATGTAGATACTAGGCACAAGAAAAAATAAGAGCTCAACTCTTGCGACTAAAGATATGTATTTATGGTCGATCCCTTTTATAGACACAC